CTCTTCTTCCAAATTTCCGATCTCCCTCTTCTTGCCGAGGGGGATGGTGTTCGGATTTACCCAGGCATTTACCTTCGTATGGTGCCCTCGGGGAGGTCCCTGATGAGAAGGTCCCTCCTGCCGAGGGCTCTGGACAAATTGGGACAGGTGCCCCGCCTGTATTAATCTCTCGATGGCCGTCTTCAACTGATGGCAGTCATCGGTCCTGTGCCCCTGGTGCCGATGGAAGCGACAGTAGGGGAACTAGGGTTGATAGCGTGTACCTCCGGGGGTGCGTGAGAATCACGCTCAACGAGGCCCCTCTCCTCGGCAAAATCGAGGATGATGCTGACGGGGTGCGTCAATGGTGTCCGAGGGCGGTCCAGGAGAATGGGCTGTGCCCAAGTCTTGGGGTTGCTCTTATATCCTCCCCCGGGCTTGGCTTGGCCTTGGGGTCCCGAAGCCTTGGGGTGATTTGGAGGAGCCACCGGCCCTCGGTTATGCTTGTTGTCAGCCCTCGGGGGCTGCTGGTCCGGATGCTGGTGATACTTCTCCACCTCCTCGGCCTCAGCATATCGGTCCCCCCGCTGCAAAGCCCTTATGTAGTCGCGGGGGGGTTCAATGATGAGGCTCCTTGAAAAGTTGCCGGTGCGGAGGACGGTTTGTAGGAGGGCCAGGAGGGTCCCGTCATCAGCACCGTCGACCTTGTCGGCCTCCGTCCTCCAGCGCTCCAGGAAATCCCGAAGGGTCTCATCCTTCTTCTGGCGTATTGTTAGGAGGTGGGAGAAGTGCTTCCTTGTGCGACGCCTCCCGGTGAATTGTGTCAAGAATCGCTGGGCGAGTTCTTGCCACGAATCAATGCAGCCCTCGGGCAGCCTGTTGAACCATTCGTATGCCGGTCCCTCTAAGGTGGAGAGGAACCATCGACACAAATATTCGTCTGACGCCCCTACCATCATCATGCTTTTTTGGTATTTGCTGTAGTGTTCCTGGGGGTCCGTTTTCCCGTTGTATGGCTGTATGTGTTGCCCTCGGTATTTCTCCGGGATCCGGGCCGCCAATACCCTTGGGGTAAATGGCGTCCGAGTCCGGAGCTGGATGACGGGTTCCCCGGAGCCCTCGGCCACCTTCTTCTGTAATTCCTCCATTTTGGCCATCATGGCCTCGTATTTCAGGTCTGAATGAGGGGTGGAGGTGGTGGCGTGAGCTTTATTGGACTCCATTTCGTCAAGCCGGCGTTGGAGGGCCGCAATAATCTCGTCCCGGGGATCCTTCGGGAGGGTCTCCGCCCCCTGCGAACGAACCCGGGCCGAGTGGGCCTGGTTGATTTGGTGGCGGGCATCATTGGCATGAAGGGGTGCCTTGCCTTTGTCCCGAGGGGGACGCTCCTCGTCTGCCCTCGAAACAGATCCCCCATTTTCCTGGGGCCTTTGGAGTGTTTTCCCCCCGAGGCGGTCTTGGACCCCTCGGCGGTCTGGCCCTCCTCCGAGCCGGTTGAGGGCGGAAGTACGGGGCCTTTCCCTGTTGTTATTATGGCGGTCCCGGGACTGAACTTCCTGGGAGGACGTATCTTGGGCCACCACCCCTTCGTCGTTTCTCACCCGAGGGGTGGGATTTCCGAAGGGGTGTGGCAGAGGGGGAAGTATGATGTTTTCCCCAACCTGGGGGTAAGCTGGAGCCAGGGTGCCGAAGGCACCCGGGTTCTGGGTGAGCGTTTGGATGAAGGCGGAGAGCACCGATTGCACGTCGATGGTGAGAACCGGAGGGCTGACTTGGTCATCGCTCCGGTTTTTCTTCTTGGCCTCGATGCCGAGGCGGGCATCGGGGGCATTTTGTTGGATCTGAAGTCGTAGGTCGACAGCCGCCTGTTCCATCCCAGCGATGACACCGCCCTCGGGAGCCCTGTGAGAGGCTTCGGGGGCGTTGACGTCGCCGAGGGCCAGGTTCTTGTCTTCTACGTTCTTTGAGTTGGCACGTGTTGTTCTCACCATTTTGATAGAGGGCTAGTGTTTTGTGTTTGGTCGAGGGGGAGGGTTTTTTACTCGATTGTTCGACCTCTCAACGAGAGCACCAAATGATGGATAGTGTACCCGGGGGTAGCTTATCCGAGGGGTTATTGTTGGGAATAACTTTAGAGAGAAGTTAGAGCAAGTAAATGTAGAGAGAGAGAGAGTGTATTATAAATGTGGAGCGTTTTCAGCGTGGTTACAAAAGGGGAAATGGGGTGCTATTTATAGTAGCAATAAATGCCGGACAGGGACACGTGTCAAGCGCTCATTGGCCGAGGGGTCACCTCAATTGGTTGGCGCTGGCAGCCGCATGTGGCCGCATTTAATGCGGCTGTTGGATGGGACGTCTGTGCAGGGTACGGTGATCTGTACGCATGTGAGGCGGATATCTTGTGGAGTGAGATGCCTTCGGCTATAGAGCAGTAGCTGAGGGCTCCTCCAACCGATGGCACCCTGGTGCCGAGGGCTCACAGTGCCGAGGGCTTCTGTTTTCGCCGTTTTCTCCCAGTTTCTTCATTTGCTTGAGAAACCCGTTCTGTGAGAGTTTGGAGCCTTCGGCCAGGGGGCCGAAGGCACTCCTGGCGCGCAGTGCGGGCTGCTTGGTACTCCGGGCGCTGTGATTTGGGTCTGGTGGGCCTCCTGGGCCTGTTGGGCCTTCATTGGTGTAGTAGGAGTCTGTGAGCCGGGGGTTCCCGGGCCATATACTCCATCAATACTTTTTAATTTTTTATGTTAAAGCGGGGTCTCAAATTTGCATTTGAAGAAGAGTCTCCAAATTTATTGGATTGACCTCACTTGAAATTTGAAATCAATCTACATACATATAGCTATATAATTTGTCATGCAAAAAACTATTATCATACTCGATCTATTGTTGCATCTACCAATAAATATATGTGGTAGACCCCGGAAGCACTCATCGGCACTCCTGTTGAGGACACAGAGAGAGTTTAATTTAGGCTCGACTTTGCTTTGAAGTATGGACTATGGATTGGCGTACTTATTATCAATACCCCCAAAAATTAATATAGTGATTATTTTCTCAATTTTCACTTTTTCATTATGAATATGAACATTTAAATAATAAAAAGGAATCTACATTTTTTATGGAAGGAATTTAGAACTGCACATGCAAATTTTAGTTTGCCTTCATAGTAAAATAGTAACACATCAAAAAACTTCTTGGCACCGAATTAGTTACAAGTTGGCGTACATGAATTTTTTTGTCACGAATATACTGTGACAATTTTTATATGTGAGTATGTGAGGACGGTAAATTTGTTATGGCAAGCCATCTATACCAAAATTGATACTCCTATCAACTTTGTGGCAGACTCAACCAATGGTCTAAAGTGTTCGTAAAGAAGGTAATTTAGATCTTAAATCCCAAGAAATATTACGTAATTTTAAAGAATTCTATTATTTGAGAAAGAAAAAGAGTAACCCCATGACAAGTTGTTTTTTGGCGTATTACGGAGTATGACAAAAACTCCCGTTGGAATGACATTATAACCCAACACTTAAAAGCGGAAATTTTTGTTTGAAAAAATCAAAACGTACACACTTTTTTGTGTACATACTTTTTACACATGTCTGTGTAAGGTTTTTTTTATGTCTGTACAGACATAATGTATTTTAAAAATACGTTACACAGACATGTGTAAAAAGTGTGTACACAAAAAGTGTGTATCCCAAATCCAACTCTTTTTGTTTATACACATTTTGGTGTACAAAAATCAAAGGTGAGAGAAATTGCGTAAGATACGCAGAAAGCAGTGCTTATACCGTGGTAACGGTGCATGGTGAGCACCATGCACCCTTTGTTATTTTTTATTTCTCATTTTCTTAAAATTGTTAATAATTTTTTTATTTTTGGTCCGATTTTTATAAAATTTATACCAAAATTTTTTATTTTTCATGATCTTTCAAATGAGACCAATATTGCCTATGTAATTTTAATTTTTTACATTCATACATTTTTTTGTAATCCCTCCGTCCCGGTCATTTCTTCCAATTTTCCTTTTTGGGCCGTCCCAATTAATTCTTCCAACTTCCACTTTTGGAAAAAATATGTGGTTCACATTCATTTACTTTTTTCTTACACAACTACAACCATACATTTTCACTTTATTATCACTACCTAAATTTGCGATACCGGTCAAAACCGGAAGAAATGACCGAGACGGGGGGAGTAATATATTTTTATATGCATACACTTTTTCTATAATATTTTTTTATCACTTTTATATGTTTTAGAGGGTTTTAAGATATTGAGTTTGTTTATTTTGCTTCTAGCTTGGAGTTACATTTGATAGTATACGAAGTTACATCATCTTATACTCCAGTTAAAGTTATTATGTGTGAGTTACATCTTGCTATACACGAGTTACATACTTTTATGCGAGAGTTACATGTAATTATGTGTGAGTTACATCTTGTTATATGTGAGTTAGATCTTGTTATACACGAGTTACATACTTTTATGCGCGAGTTACATGTAATTATGTGTGAGTTATATCTAATTATTTGTGATTTTTTACTTATCTTTATCTTGAACTAATTCAATTATAACTGAATTAAGTTTTTTCTTTGCCAATTTAATATAAAATTTTATTAATCCACATAAAATAAGTATATTGTATTTCATATTCATACACTATTTTTCAAATGATAAAAATGAAAGATGTAGCAGAGGTTTATTCCATGGTGTAACTCACATACATTAAGATGTAACTTGTGTATATTAAGATATAACTCGTGTACAATAAGATGTAACTCGCGTAGAAGAAGATGTAAATTCATGATATATTATCAAATGTAACTTCAAAATAATTTTTTAAAATTACATAAACAATATTGGTCTCATTTGATAGATCATGAAAAATTAAAAAAATTGATATAAAATTTATAAAAATCAAATATAAAATAAAAAATTATTACAATTTTTAGCAATAAAAGAAAAAAAAATAATGAATACTTCGTCTTTTTGGGATCAGACCCACCATCCCCGGATACCAGGGGTATAAATTGCGCGCAGAAAGATACGCAGAAATTGTATGCCAAGCCGGCAAGCAGCTCTTCCTTAAAGCAACGTCGTACTACCATATTTCGTGTCGTTTGACTCATTTCCCTCAAGTGAGAGCGTCGGCTCGCTCGCGCATCCAACCGACAATCCGCCATGGATGATACCGAAGTAAAATCCCCGAATCCATCTCACCTTCATATGTGTTTGATCTGTACTTAACGATCTGAATACATGTAGAGAATGGAGGAGGCATTGAAAGCGGCATACGCGGAGGTCATTCTGAACACTATGAAGGAGGCAGCAGCCCGAGTGATGGGATCGGAGCAAAAAGCTCGCCGCTTGGAGAAGGATCTCCAATCCACCAAGGACGAGTCAATTCGATTGCTCCTCCGATTGAAACTCATGGCAGATGCTAAGGTTTTTTCGTTTTTTCTTCATTGATTCAATATGTTTCACAAAATCCCCCCATTCCCATTTACCAACGTAGTGACAGTAGAATTTCCTTTTCATTTTTTTTTCTTGATTTTGATTGTTCATAATTTGAAAAAGACTGATTCTTGATACCAAGGTGACTATATTATGAGGAGTACTGATATACGGAGTATTTATTTATTTGAGTTAGTATATGATCCGTTTTGTATTGGATGCTTGAGTGATTGGTAGTGTGTTTAATCAGCTGGATGACATTATTCCCAGGTAAACGAGGCTGAAACTTCGTCCATGAATCAGCAAAGAAGGATTGATGAGCTAGAAGCTCAGCTCAATGAAGCTGAAGGTCTTGTATTAGAGCTCAGAGAAGAACTTAATACCGTAAGGGAGGAATTTGATGAAACAAAGAAGGAGAAGAATAAAAAGAAGAAGAATGTCAAGGATGATCCTGTTTTAGGCTCTATGATAATGAAATGCAAAGAGGCTGTGATGTGCCGAAGTCGGTTCACCCAAAGGATTTGTGCAGTAGAGACGAGCTCACCAGACGTGAACTCGAACACCGGAGATGATCCATGCTTTGCTGTAAATATTAAACCGGTCAGAGAATGTGATGAAACAAAGAAAACTGAGAATCATATAGGTCAGGCTGGAGTTGGACTGATTCAAGGGAGTGTTAAAAAGAACAGGCCCGCGGGTTTCCATGGAGAAATTAAAAGAAGAAAAAGTCATCATGGAGAAAAAGTGCAGAAAAACGATGGTCAGTCTTTCCTGGTTCGCAGAAGCGTCAGGAAGAGAAAAATCAAGTACTGGGATGATAATGCTTCTGTGTGGAGGTCTCATGACTATCACTCTAATCAGTCAAGGAAACATTCCCGGCCATGTAGCATGCCCAGACCAGTGAAGTGCAATGTCAAGTCCAGTGAAGACTATATGGAACCAAATAGTGTTCCTGAGGTTAAGGATCACGTGCACAAGTTGGACACAGAACCATATGTGACTGACAATGAATCTGAGAAGGCATCTCAAAGAAGCTATATGACTTCAGATCAAGCCGATGCAGAGGGGCAACTCAGGTACACATTCTTTAGGAAGAGAAAGAAGGATTCTTTAACCAATCCAAACGAAAACTCTTCTGGAGAGAAACTATATACTCATGTGACACGGCAGGATTCTAGTGTGATTGGCAACGAATCACCGAGGAAAAACAGACAACTGGTGCAGGTTGCTAACCAGGTGGGTGATAAATTATCACTTACCATATGATGGAAACAATGATCATTTATAGTAAGGTCATAACTTTTGAAATCTAGAAAGAGATTAAAATATAGATTACCATATAGTCCCATTCTCATTATTAGGTTTAGCCCCACTATTTCTCTGTATAGAAAATTGTAATCTTTGTATCAATGAGTGTCGCCTTATTCCAAACTAACATAGCAATGCATACTATGACAAGGATTCATGCACAATGACACAAGATATCAAAAACTAATAATTTATTCTTCCTTTTTTGCAGCTTATTTCATTGTCTGGCAAGCTGTCATAAAGTAGTGTGAAGGAATTTATTCGAACTGATGGGATGTGATGAAACAACTGTGTCAAAAAGATGATTGGACACATTTGAGCCTGTTGTCTTTTGGGATGGTGCACCAGCTTGCGTAAGTTAATGTTTTGCGTTTATGTAATGTAACACTCTTTGTGCATAATGGGGCGCTCTGATTATTTGTTTTTTTTTGTGATCTTTATTCTTCAAATAAGTTTCTCTATAAAATACATACATGAAGTGGTTTTATAGCTAGTGAGCTGAACACAGCTTTTTCCCGGCATCCTAATGTCAATCCTGAGTAGGTGTGGTCCCCAATTGCAATAACATTTACTGGAACCGGTTTGATTCCGACTGCGCCTTTACAAATTGTTCCGCATCTAGTTTGAACCGCATTTGTTTTGCTAAATGAGGACTGGAAGCGGATGAATCTGGGCCTCTTTCAGATTAACTGGAATGGATTTATACTTATGATGGTACCTGTTCCTGATTGGAATTTCGACCAGTTCCAGTCTGATTCGGGTATGGAACCTGGGTTGTATCCACCCATGCTCCTGAGTACATTTCAGTGTATTTTACAAACATGATCTGAACTGGATGTTGGTTCAAAGTGGCATTGCAATACAGGGTCGTTAAAGCAATTCTCGCCTTTTTTTTTTGAATGCAAATTTAGTTTGAATAAAAATTAAAAATCACTTGACTTCTAAAGTTGTGTTGCTGCTAAATAGTGAACTGTTGAAGGAAAGCAGTGATATGCTCTTCTCAATTCATAGACAAACCATTCAATCAACAATCAACATTAACTCAGCAAGTATAGAATCAATTGCCTAGTTTGATTGATACACAATTGTAATGAGGTATGGGTCAGTTTGGTCCTCGAAGTTGCATAAAAGGGGTCAAATAAGTCCTTATAACGTCTTTACTGTCCGGCCGTCGCCATTTGGGGAAGTTCCCGGTAGAATTTTTTAATGAAATTTTTTGAGCATCTTATTCATTAAGTCTAGTTTACTCATACCAAAATTCAGCCAAAACTTAAATCGGGAAAGCATTCAAATGAAGTCTTCAACATAACTGCGCTTTTAACTGCGCAGTTATCTTCAAGACTTCATTTGAATGCCTTCCCGATTTAAGTTTTATCTGAAATTTGGTATGAGTAAACTAGACTTAATGAATAAGATGCTCAAAAAATTTTATCAAAAAACTACACTGGAAACCGCCCCAAATGACGACTCCCGGACAGTAAGGACGTTATAAGGACTTATTTGACCCCTTTTATGCAACTTCGAGGACCAAACTGACCCTTACCTCCAATTGTAATAGTCATTATCTTGACAGTTTTTGCATCTATTTTTAATTACAGTCCCACACATTATCAAAATTGCTATTGTATTCTCCGGTTCTACCTTACCAATCTTTCACGAGTGCAGCACCAATACAGCACCAACATTATCAATTCAATTAACAAGACCGGATTAGTACACCATATTGCCTCGTCCAATCTATATAAACCAATCTTTTATTTGTTGAATTTGCCTCTTCTAGTGCTCAGATTGGATGTATGTTACATCCCATAGCATTTTGTCATTTTTTGTCACCTCTTGTTCATGCATCTTTTACAGTGGTCATTTTTTTATTGCAAGTTACGCCTTCATTGCATTCACTGCAGCAACCTTCCAGGTAGACTCCCTCCTGCTCTGCATGGCCTACTTATATTTTCAGCCTCTTCACCATGACCATGACGGCATGACCTACAAGGCCCATTCCATGTACCGAGCTGTGATTAGGAGCTTCTCAGACTCGGCATGGAAGGAGGGATGGCCGATATCTCTTTCTTATGACGCTTCAAGGTGCGAATCAGGGTGCAACAGAGGAAGGAAGAAGGGTGAGCTGAAAAGGAACCAACTTACATGGAATTGGAGTATTCGACGATGTGAGCTCCCTTCTATAGTAACCCGTTAAGGAGCAACACAGATCGGAACCAATTTTCAGTTTAATATGAAGCGGATTTAAAAATTGTAAATTTGAAATTGGATTGGGTACATAAGTCGTTTATATTTAGAAACAGTTAAAAAAAATACGTAGTTTATACAGAAACACTACAAAAAAAGTAGTCCACAATGTATTAATAGTAAATACGGAATATTGATTATAGGGATGGACCAAACCGGGTCGGCCCGACCCTGAACCGGCCTGACCTGCCACTGTTCGGGCCCGGCCCGGCCCGGTTACGGATAGGGCGGTGCGGGCTTTGACCCGGCCCGGGGGAGGCTAGCGGTTCGGGCACGCTTCACAAAAATGAAGGCCCGACCCGGCCGGTTCGGGCCAACAACTATTTTTTTATTTTTTTTTCTTTTGGCTATCCAAACAGGCCCTTAGAGCTGTTGTGATTGAATCCAAACGGCTATATAGCCGTTGGGAGCCTTCCTGTGGTCCAGGGGTGGGTTAGGGGGGGTGGGGGTGGGGTACAAAAAACTATAAATACTCCATTTTTTCTATACAATTTACTACACATCTTCTCCAAATATTCCTACTCTCTAATCTCTATTCTCTACTAATCTTCTCCATCTTCATCTTCCCAAATAAAAAAATTAAAAAAGAAGTTATAAGGCAATATGTTTTGGAAAAGCAAAAATTACAAACGTTTTTTGCAAACTTTGATGGATGTGTTAGTATATGTAGTGATATATGGGAGGATACTCATCATCATTTATATTATTTGGGTTTGACTGCACATTATATTGATGATGATTGGTGTATGCATAAACGTGTTCTTGCTTTTCGTGAATTTAATGATAGACACCGGTGATAATATTTATATTCTCATTGATCGTATTTTAATTGAGTATAATTTGATTAATAAGGTGTTTGCAATTGGTTTTGATAATGCTACTAATAATACTGCTGCTATTCCTAGATTGCGTGAATTGTGTGGTTCATCTTCTTTGATGGGTAGGTTTTTTCATCAGCGTTGTGCATGTCATATTTTAAATTTATGTGTACAGGACGGTCTAGCGGCGTTGGGAGATGCTATGGAGGTGGTGAAGGGGGGAATTAAATTTATTTGGGCTAGTTCTCAACTTAAGATGCAATGGAGATTTTTTTTGAAAGAAAGACGTGTCAAATATTGTGCTTTTCCTAAAGATTTGTCTATTCGTTGGAATAGTACTTATAACTTAATTAAGGTGCTTATTAGATTTAAAAATCATTTTCCTGCTTTTTTAAAAGAATATGCTAACTGTATTATAAACCCGGCCGACATCGACACTTGTGATTTTTTTTTGAATGTTTTGGTATATTTTAATAATGCAACTCTAACTTTTAGTCATGTTTATAAACCTACCGCAAGCCAATTTTTTGTTGAAGCTGTTAATCTCGCCGACGCTTTTTTGTGAATTTGCTGATGCCGCTTACGTTAGTTATTTTTGTGACTTCACGAAACAAAAGTTTTTAAAATATTATTCCTATATTCCGCATATATATAATATTGCATTTATTCTTGATCCTCGTTTTAGACTTGCTGCTTTGGAGCAATGTTTAGATTATTATTATGCTTCTTTTTTTGGGCCATTGCCTATGTACGACGACAAGGCTATAGACCCGAAACAACAATTTCAAGAGGTTAGTAATTTATTATATCAATTATTTAATGAATTTCATGCACAATATGGTAACACATCCCTCCCCCGCCACGAACATCTTCTTCATCTAAAGGAAAATCAATTTTGAAATCTGCATTTGGCAATCTTATGAAAAAAAGTAAATCGACTCCGGTTAATGAACAAAGCTCGATCAACGAGCTTTATTTGTATCTAACATTTCCTGTTGAGTATGAAGAAGGGGATGACTTTGACGTTCTTCAGTGGTGGAAGGAAAAAGAGAGAACGTTCCCGATCTTATCAAAGATGGCTAAGCAAGTGCTAGCAATGCCCGTATCAACAGTTGCTGTGGAACAAGAGTTTAGCGCGGCCGGCAACGTCCTAACGGATTATAGGACGAGATTGAGCACAAACTCTCTTCAGACGCTTGTTTGCTTCCACGATTGGTTGAAGGCCAAACGTAGAACTCAAGAAATTAGCATCGAACTCACCCGCCACTTTATGGAAGAAACAACTGAAGTTGGCAGAAATTCTGATTGATTCTTATTTATTAAAAAGTGTATTTCATGTTGTAATTTTTGCTCAATTTCCAATTGTACTACATATTTGAAATTAATACAGTTTAAATTTTTATGTCCAACTAATCTGAATTAAAAAAAAGGCTAAAGGGTCAAATATGCCCTTGAACGTATACGAATTGCTCAATTGGCACCCCCAACCCAAAAAAGCTCCGATCCAATACACCAACCAAATTAATTACTTCAATCCCCCCATCCAACCGGTTACCTCCCGGTTGTCCCCCTTTCAACCAGAAACTGGAGCTCCAAACTACCATTAATGGCGGAAATCAGAGAGCTCTCAGTCGGTGGGGGTTCCCATGACATCGGACCAGATGGATGAGTGGTCAGTGGTTGGCCGCTGATGACGAACGGCGGTGTGGCGGCTGGAGGAGCCAACGACGAGCCACGAGCATCACTACGGCCGACGGCGTTTCTCCGGAAATGGAGCGGCAAGACCTGGGGCGCTTCAGAGAGCACCACTTGGTGCAGGTGGCCTTACCGGAGGGTTCACGACGGTGCGAACGACGACGGCGGCTCCGATGACCCTTGGTGATAACCCTTGGTGCGCAGTACTGTTCACAGGCGTAAGGGGGACAACCGGGAGGTAACCGGTTGGATGGGGGGATTGAAGTAATTAATTTGGTTGGTGTATTGGATCGGAGCTTTTTTGGGTTGGGGGTGCCAATTGAGCAATTCGTATACGGTCAGGGGCCTATAGCCCGGGCCCGGCCCGGCCCGAACCGGCCCACAACCCGGCCGGGTAGGCCCGACCCGGACCGGACCCGGTATCACCCGGGCCGGTTCCGGGCCCATCATTCAACAAAAAAAGCCCGCCCGGGCCCGGCCCGGAACCGGAACCAGACCAGCCCGGGTCCATCCCTAATTGATTAACTTACTCATCATACATTCATACCAGTACATGATTATACAAACTTAGTAATACAAACATGCTCAAATGAAGTCATACAAATTTAAATAGGAACATCACCTGAGCAGTTGGGGGTCAGTTAGCACCATTTATTCTGTGCCAAAAGCTTTAGGACGGGGTAGGCACAAAACTACCCGTTAAAAATCAGGTATGACCTATGAAGCGTTAGGATGGAATGTTTTGTCCAAAATTTGGCATAGATTATATTGTGACAAATCTTTGTTTCAGCAATATAAATATGTCAGAAGCTTGTTTCATTTGGAAAAAAAATTCAAATAAATTTTAGTAAGGAATGGGACAAATCCTAATTGTTATTGAGATAATATAGTACAGCTCAAAAAATACAAATTGATAATTGTCATTTTGGGCTCTTACCAATAAAACTTTTCATCGAACACGTATTTTTTTGTTCCAAACACTAAATTGTGTAATATTCGAAATACATATTATTTCATTTCAGTTACTTTTGTAACTGGATTGACCAAGTTTGATGAAAAAGCTATATTAGCTATCGTTCCATTTAATTTTCCTTTATTTTATCAATAAAGATAGAATTAATTCCATTTTTGGTCATATGAATTTTATGTCAATTCCACATTTAGTCTACGTCTTTCACTTTGTCCACTTTTGGTACTCCCTTCGTCCTTTAATGGTTTGACATGTTTGACCGACACGTAGAATAATAAAGTAAAAATTGTGTGGTAGAGATTTGTGGAGAAGAAAGAGAAATAACATGAGCTACAAATTGATTGTTCAAAAGGGAAGGTGACATAGTTTTTGGAATAACGAAAAAAGAAAAGTTGACAAAGTTCTAAGGGACGGAGGTAGGGGTGGATTCGGTTCGGGCCACCTGGCCCGTGACCCAGCCTGGCCCGCTACTGTGCGGGCCCGGGACCGGCCCAGTCTAGCGGTCCGGGACCAGGTGTAGACCCGAACTGGGGGGTTAGGGCGGGGCGGGCTCGGTTCCGAAAAAAGTTGACCTAGCCCGGCCGGGTCGGGCCCGGGTCCGGGTCCAACGGTCAGATTTTTTTTTTTTGTTTTGGACTTTTGGGCCAAACTAACCATTGGGGGGTGGGCTGGGACTACCCAAACGGCTATATAGCCGTTGGGTGGGCTGCAGGGGGGTTCAAGCGGTTTGGGGGGTGGGGTAAAAAAAACTATAAATACTCCTAATCTTAAACATTTTTCCATAGCTCTTCTACAACTCTTCCTAAATCCTACTCTTAACTCTCTACTCTCTACTCTCTAATTATCTTCATCTTCTCAAATTCTCTTATTCTCCAATATATTATATATCTACTTTATATTAATTATCTACTTATAATTTATAAATACATACATTATATTACTTATATTTCTTATCTAATTATATATTACTTATACATTTATTATATCTATTAATATAGTTGGAATTATATCTAATTAATTCGAAGTCATTCTATTACTCCCATCCGAAAGACCAAAAGTCCGAAAGAGGTACGAAATCATTCTATTATTTACACTTGTTTAATTTTGTATTAACATTACTTGAAAAAAAAACTAGTTAATTCTCATTATATTTAAAGTTAAACTATAATAATTTGATTGTTAGTAAAAAAAATAGGTAGTACAAAAAACTAGTTGATTAGTTAATTAGTTTTCACATGAATTGTTTAATTTTTCATTAAAGCAGTTAATTACTTTATTACAATTTTTTATTAATTGCTACCTTTGACTCTAGTTTAAAAAACTAGTTAATTCTCATTATAGTTAAAGTTAAACTATAATAATTTGATTGTTAGTAAAAAAATAGGTAGTACAAAAAACTAGTTGATTAGTTAATTAGTTTTCACACGAATTGTTTAATTTTTCATTAAAGTAGTTAATTACTTTATTGCAATTTTTTATTATTTGCTACCTTTGACTCTAGTTCAAAAAACTAGTTAATTCTCATTATAGTTAAAGTTAAACTATATTAATTTGATTGGTAGTAAAAAAAATAGGTAGTACAAAAAAATAGTTAATTGTTAGTTTTGACTATTTAT